GCGCGACAGTGCTGCTCCTAGCGGCCGGCGCTGGGCTGAGACGGGGCGGGAGACGGCGCGGGAGACGGCGCGCGGCTGGCGCGCGGGCCTTTCGGCGCTGTGGAGACCGTTTGGTGCGTCCGATCGAACAACCAAGGGTATCTTCCGGTAGGTCAGACCTTCCCCGACACACATGTCAAGGACCCAGGTCTGTAGCTCAAACCGTTCGTCCGTCAGACGTTTGGGGAGGTAGGCGCGCAGGGCCCCGGGACGATAAAGCTTCTACTCCATACCGCTTTACTCCATGCTCTAGCCCTCAGCGCGTGCAAGCCAGTGTGTAGGCAACCCTTCGAGCAGGCACGTATTCCCCCGGACACACAGTATGCACAAAGATGACAAACAGCTAACATATGTGCCACATACGTTCCATTTACGTTCCGTTTTTCTCGGGTAGCACTGTAAAAGACGTTGACGTGCATGTTCTTGGAGAACCATGGGCTAGAATCCCATCCATATTCTAGTTCAATCTAAAATCTTGTGTGAATTCACTGGTAATCGTGTCAATGAACGTACACTCTAAATGTCAAGGGACAATTTTGTCCGTAGATTTGCAACGATTTCGTGCACATCCAGAAAGGATGCAATTTTGTTCCCTTAATTGGACAAATTGTGTGAAGTTTCACACAATTTGTCTAGGTTTAGGAACAAAATTGCATCCTTTCTGGATGTGCACGAAATCGTTGCAAATCTATGGACAAAATTGTCCCTTTACATTTAGAGTGTATGTCCAAAAAAATCAACTTTTTTTATTTAAAGGTATTTTGACCCGAAAACTATATATTCTGTAAATAGACCGAAATTCAATCGACTCGATTTGTTTGGACCTACGTTCGTTGACACAATTACCAGTGAATTGATGGTTTGATCTAAAATTTGCTGAGACTTTTCCACCGATGCCAGGATGTTAACGCCTATAATGGACAACCCTTTAACGTCAGCTACACATTGCCAGCCCACTGCCTTACTGGTCACGTGCGTGATGCTGCTGCCAGCTCTGGGATTCATGTGCTTCTCGGTGTTCTTCTTCGGTCAATTGGACTTCGTAAATAATCAAACCGTTTTTATACTACTGATGTGACAGCCTCCGAAGCTCACTAAGTTAAACCTTTTGCCATAGGACCAACACACAGGAAGTGTGTGGGTAATTGGAGGTATGATGACTATAGTGAATCTACAAGGCTTTTTGGAGAAATGTTCCTTGGGATTCATCGTGTGGCGTGTATGGTCGGTATTTTCGTCGCTAGGCCAGGACCTGATAGAAATCGAGTCCCAGGTGAAGGACCGTAAACAGCATCCAACACAGGTTTGCAATTGAGAAGCGGCCGGGCCGTGGTGAGCAGAGCCTTGCATCGAGCGAGCATCGGATGCCTACATAGCGTCCGAAAGCGGTTGTGGGAGCGAGAAGCTCGCGCCGGGCCATAGCCCCCTCTCATTCCGATTCGCTTTCGGACGCCATGTAGGCATCCCGGCTGCCTGGATGCAGGGCTCTGGTGGTGAGGTAGTGGCTGCCTCCCGTCGCTGATGTGTACTAGCGGCACACAAAAATAACCTGCAAATTGTGATACCAGCAAGCCACTTTGCACACGTGTTCTTAACACCCAAATGGTCGATTTGGCCCGCCGTACCTATCTGAAATATGCTGCGGGGGTGGGTTTTTGGGGGGTGGCTTTAAAAACTACCCCTAAAATTGAAAGACGTTAAAATAAAGCTATGGGCGCGATCTAAGAGTCGATTCCGGCTAAATCAGACCCGCCGAACTCAAAAATGGCAAAATAAAACCTTTCCGGTCAATATTTGGCCATATTTTGGGCCATTTTGGTCAATTTAGGGCCTAAATGACTCTTAACGGTTCTCGGCATGATGGGTATCGATTCTTGGGTTTTGGAGGGGTACAAACCGGTAGGAATGATGAAAATGACGCCTGGGTACTTATCTCACGCTGTCTGACCCGTGGGGTACCATTGGGCACCGTGAGAAAGATACCCCATAAAACCGGTTTTGCGAATTTTGAGCTGCTACAGACGCGATCAAAGGGTCGATTCCGACTAAATTAGACTCGCTGAACTGGAAAATGGCAAAATAATTTTTTTCCGGCGGATATTTGATCATTCTGTACAAGATTACACACACATTTTTCCGAAATTAGGGCCGAAATGCATCTTTTTTTACGAATTTGGCATGATGGGTATCGATTCCGGCTATGCGCGAGTGAACTATGCGTTAAAAATGTTTAAAATGATGCTGGAGTACTTTTATCACGGTGCCTGACGCATGAGGTACCGTTACGCACCGTGAGAAAAGTACCCGCATCAGATAGTCGTCTTGCCAACAGAGCTTCAGTCGTAATTCAGGGGTCGAGTCGAGATAAATTAGACCAAACATGTAGCATTAAAGGTTTCGTG